GCCAAGGCCCCCGACTGCGGCCGGCGGGAGGAGGAGGAGGGGGCGGCGGCCGCGAGGCAGGAGGACGCCGGAGCTGCCGAGGCGAAGCCCGAGCCTGGGCGCGCGCGTAAGGATGAGCCTGAAGAGGAAGAGGACGACGAGGACGACCTCAAGGCCGTGGCCACCTCCCTGGACGGCCGCTTCCTCAAGTTCGACATCGAGCTGGGCCGGGGCTCCTTCAAGACGGTCTACAAGGGACTGGATACCGAGACCTGGGTGGAGGTGGCCTGGTGCGAACTGCAGGTGAGGGCTCTCCGGGAGCGCGTCCTTGGGCGAGTCGCGGCTCTATCTCAGGGCCTTAGGCAGCCGTGGGGATGTTGGAGGCTGCCGAGTTTGTGTGTCATCCTCTGTGTGGACGGCCGGCAGCGGGGTGCCTGTTCGATGTCAGCACACAGGTGGGGTTTGTTAGCTTACTTGGTCCCTGAGGTTGAGGCTTGGGTGTGTGGTGTAAATGGACCCACTGCGCGGGGGCGCTGTCAGCCCTGCTCCTTGTAGCGTCCTCATAACCCACTTTACTGATCTAGTACAGTACAGACACAATGTAGGGGCTTCAAGGCCTGTGTCATAGGGAGGTTTGGAAGCTCTTCGCTTCCCTTAAACTAGCATCTTCCTGTATGCTGCGGAGTGTGGCTTGTGGCAGCCGTGAGTGCTGTCAGGGGCTTCCTTTGACTCAGAGGTGTGACCCGAGGTAAGGCCTTGGGGCCCCCGGGCAAGGCCTAGAAGCCCTGTCTGTAGTTTTGTGCTCTCAAGGCTCTGGATGTGTGAGAGGTCTTTAAAGCTAAGTCATCCAAGTGCCCCTGCATTTTTCCCTTCCTTCCCTCCTCCACCTTGGATGCAGAGGCCCTCCGCATGCATTTTTCATAACCTTGCCCTCACGTTGGCTGTGTCAGCTGGGGCCCTGGGAGATTATATAAATGGCAACCCTAGCTGTCCTGGGCCAGCCATAGAAGGGGAGGCAATGCCTGTCACAGTGGTGTTTACAAGCCCTCCCTGGCTTGGAGGGGGCAGCTGTCAGGCAGGGGCTGGCCTGGGAGCCCTGGCTGGAGGTGTAAGCCTACCCCGCTGGCCTGTAAAGTTAGCCAGCCTTCCAGGGCTGATGCTGGCCAGGCGGACCCAGGCAAGCTGGCTGCCAGGGCCTCTGGCCACGCTGCAGGATGCCTGCGTTTTTGGCCCAGAAATGGGATTCATTTGCTGTGTCCTCCAGTCCCTACAGGATGAACTGCATGTGTGTTCAGGCCACGATAATGTTGTGGGTGTCAGCTTGTCCTGAGCCCTTCTCCTAGGACAAAGAGCCCCAGAGGTCTTGCCTTCCCACTGCCCCTTGATTCTGCCATGGAAATGTGACTCTGCATAACCTGGGCCAGGCGTGTCCTTTGGGGTCTTTCAGGAGGGGCCGAAGAGCTCTCCTCCCTCCTGCCCTGCAGATTCTGGGGGTTGCTGAGAGGTGGCCTCCATGGCACGGTTTGCAGGTGGGTGGAGCAGGGTCTGGTGTGCTGGGTACCCTTCCTTGCTACAGAAGGGGGAGGGATTTGTGAAGGAGGAGAAGGCATGGGCTCTGGATGCCCACCTTCCTGCTCTTACCAGATGACCAGTGTGGCTGTCTGAGCAGCCACAGTACCGCTGCTGCGGAGTGCCACTGTGGGTGGAGGGCCAAGCAGAGGGGCTGCAGTGGGCTGGATGTGAGTTAGACCTCTGCAGCTTGGGCCTGCCGATCTGGCGGAGGTACTGCAGGCGCATGTGACTCTCGGAGCTTGTAAATTCACCTTCCCTTTAAGGCAAGGCGACGGTCTGTGCCTGCCCATGGTGGGCAGGGCAGTAGGGGGTGGGGCCTGGCTTCTGTCCAGGGGTCTTATGCTTCTTGGGCGTAGATGGGAGTGGAAAGGCTGGGGTGGCTTTGGGACCATGGTGTTGTCACCTACTTGGGGCTTACCGACGCCCCCTAGACAGTGGGGACACTCCCCACACTGCCTCCGAGAGGTACTGCCGTGCTCACCCAAGGCTGATATGCATCCTTTGAGGTTACCACCCTCTGCCTGGGCCAGCCTGGGTGGGTTTTACATGACAGGGGTCTAGGTAAGTTTAGAGGAGCTCCCCTTGCTGAGAACCTGCAGTGCCAGGCCTGTATTGGGAGACAGTGGGGACCTGGAGTGATCCTCCGAGGTCACAGTGAGGAGATGGCAGGGACATTTTGGGATAAGGGAGAAGACACTGTCCTGGTGTGGAGAGTGTAGCCTGAACCAACTTTATGCAGAGCCGTGGGAGGGGCAACCTTTTGGTGTCCACGATGTGGAGCAGGGGTGAGTAGGGTGGGCTGGGAAGCAGGGGTCCTGCCTGCAGTAGGCTCCGCAGGTCAAGGTGAGAGTAGAGGAGTGGTCTCCTCAGGAGCTGGCCTCACCTACTTCCATGGTGCAGAGGGGCTGCCCTGTTCTGGGAGGGTGACAGGTGGGCACTCCTTCAGCAGGCATGATGAGCTGGCTGTGTTCCTAAGGAGGGGCCTTCTTACCCAGTGTGGAGATGGTCCTGCTCTGCCTTGGTCCCCCGCGTTTCTTGGCACTGAAGATGAGGTCCTGAGAGTCTGGATTTACTTGTGGAGGAGGGAAGGTCTGTGGGGGCATTGTCTTTAGCCAGGGGAGTCAAGGAATTCTTGGCGTCTCTCCCCCTCTTGGAGACACCCAGGGTGCCTCAGCAGGGTGTGGCCTCCCTCTGCTTATCCAGGTGCCTTCGGGTAGCTGTTTCCCTGCAGGTGCGGGGGCTTCTCATCTGGAGAATTGAGAGGGGTCTTGCGTGCTGGCTCTTTTCAGGGTTCCCTGCCAAGGGGAAGACACACTTCCATTGTGGATCTCATCAATGTGGTTTAGAGGACATCTGATTTCCCTCAGTGACTTCGTGTTGAAAGGCTGTTTTGGGAGAGCAGTATGTGATTATCTTACATCCAAGGGCCGCAGGATGTCTCACCTTCCCAATCTCCAGATAGCCAAAGCTGAAACTTTAACTGTTTTTTGGAGGGCGGGGGAGGGGTGACCATTTAAAAGTATTATCTCCTGTCATTTATCTTTTGAGCGAGTTTTTATTCCAGTATGTTAGAGCAACAGCAGAAGAAGTCAAAATGCCACCTGCTGTCCTTTTCTCTCCCCTTTCCCATACTCCAGTGGCTGTCCGTGGCCAGCTCTGGTCCTGCACAGACCCCTGTACCATCAGCATGTGGGATAGCTTAGTATCCCCTGTTTCTGCTGGCAGTGGTCATCTACCACTGGTACACCTGGTTGCTTTGGGAGACAGTTCTGGGTCCCACCTGGGCATCCACCTCATCTGCAAAGCCCAACCACGGGGCGTGAGGTTGAGACACATGTGAGGCATGGCATGGTCACAGCATAGGGATGATAGGCTTGCCCAGCTTGGTGTGGCCACACCATAGCAGAATTGGGGTCCTGGCATGGTGTGGCCACCGTAGAGCGATGCACGAGGGCTGTGTGGTGTGGCACTGTGCCACCTCTTGCCTGGTTCCCTCCTGTTGGTCAGCACAGCTTGGTCTCATCTTTTCGGTGTTGTGCTTCTTTGTCTTCCTTGCTCTCCTAGCTACCCAGGTGGCTAGAATGATGCCGTCTGCAGTGACTCAGAGCCCTGCTTCCCTCTAGGGGTCACCAGTCCCTGAGAACATGATCCCACAGCCAAGGCCTTTGTCAGGACACTGTCAGGGGCAGGTCTTTGGCCTTTCCTGCTCCTGCTGTGTCTCCACTGGAGACCTGGAAAACGGTGTCTTCATTCCTGTGTTTATACACTCCCTGTCATTGCCCTGTCAGAGAATCCACAGTCCTAGGCCCTCATGCCACTGCCTCCTACAAAAGGCTACTCTGTGCTGCCATTGTGGTGCTAGAACCTGTGGTTGCATGGGTGTGTGTCGTCTGTCCGTGACGGACGGCTCAGGGTACCTGCCTGGCCTCCCAGAGCAGTGTGAGTCCTAAAGAGACCGGGGGCAGGTGCTTCTCCTCTCAGCCCTGCCTGGGCCCCGCTGGGCAGGAATGCAGGGAACGAGTCGCCAGTGGAAAGATCACAGGAGGACCTTCTGCTGTGATGTGGGGTGGTGACAGCAGCTCAGAGCTCTCTTACAGCCCAGCCAGAGATCTCAGTGTCCCCTCCGTCTGCCTGGGGGTAGGTGACGCCTTTGGAGGCTCACCAGTGTGCTGGGTCCTCACTGTCTTCAGACGGTGGCTAAGTGTTCCTGCAGCCTCCCCATCCCCTTTGTGTCCACTTCTACCATGCAGGTGGGGTAGGGAGACCAAGAGCACCTCCTGGAGCACTGATGCTTGCACAGAGACCCAGCTACTGCCCTGTCTGCTCCCTTCCAACCTGTTGAGGTAGAGGGGAGTTGGAGGAGGGGCCAGCATCTGTCTGGAGGAGCCCACATTGCTCGCTGCCTCACAGGGACAGGACACCCTGAGAAGCCCAGCCTCATGTGACTGCTGGTGACTCTGCCTTTTTTCTTTTAAAGGCCATGAAGTGCTGAGTTTTCTGGGAAGAGCTGGACTTTGCAGTTGGTTAGATGGCAACACTGAGTCTGTTCTGGGGCAAGATGCCCTATGCTCCCTGCTCACCTACTGGGCCTTTTGTTTAGTTGGTGAGAAAGGTTGGTGCTGGCAGTCTGCGTGGCCTGTGGGGACAGCTGTCCTGCCAGGCACAGGAGTGTGAGAGCCTCAGCACTCAGGGTTCCCTCTTGCCCCCAGGTGCAGGTGGTCAGTGGTGATGACGAGCAGCTCAAGCTGTGGCCCCCATCGGGGTGGGGGCCACAGGGAGGTCAGGCACTGCAGCTCATCTCCTGTTGGAAGCAGGTGCTCTGCAGCCAAGCATGTGCCTTTGGGGTTGTCCTTAGAGGCCCTGGTGTTCCGAGGTAGCTGGATTCAGGGCCAGGTCCCTGTGTGACTCTGCATGACTGTGTCACTCTTCAGAGCCCTGAGCTGAGACCCCAGACCTCCTTGCGGTGAGGGGAAAAGCAGCAGGCGCAGCTTGTTTGCCATGCTGGCCATGAGCTGGTGCTTTCTCAGCGCCCCCACCCGCAGACCTGGGCAGAGCCTGAGAGGGCAGTTGGATGCCTCCTTCAGTACCAGCTCCAGAACTCTGTGAGAACGATGTGTCTGTGTCCATGAGCCCTGCTGAGCACCTGGTGTGTCCAGGCAGTTGAGCTCTGCATCCATTACCTTCCTTTTGTTAGACACAGCAGAATAGCTGAGGGATAAAACTGAGGCCCC